AAAACATTGTTTGTAATAACTGTTATTGTAAATTGTATTGTTGTGTGTATATTAAAACGTATTTGTGTTAAAAAAGAAAACTGTGTGTATCAATCTTGTTGGCAAATATCATATACTGACTATGTATTGGCTATTACTTAACTGATAAATCCAAAGTACAATTTAGGTACTAAATTTAAATTATCAGTTAACTCAATATCAGGGGCCCCCCAGTAGCACAGCTGTATGTCCATGGAATTACAGCGCTAGAAACCGGGTTTCGATACCCGTGGTGGGCAGAGCACAGATAGCCCATTGTGTAGCTTTGTGCTTAATTCCAAACAAACAATATCAGGCTACTTGAAATTCTAATACGTAACATAGGATATTTAGCTAAGTTTGTCAATTATTAATTAATGCAATTTCTGAGATAACCAGTGATAAAAGTTTTCATAGAAAAACCTTGTTTTCTATCAATTGGTCTCCATTTTTGAATTTTAAATTATATTTTTGTGAAATTTTCATTTTTAAAAATGAATAATGAGATTTATCCTAAAGCCTGTAATAACTTATAACTTTTATGCTTATCTGTAAATGATATATTTGTCTCTTAATATATATGTATATATAAAGACGAAATGTGTGTTTGTTTGAACCTTAACTCCTCCGAGCCTATTGGGCCAATCTCAACCAAAATTTGTATGCAAACACTATGAACTATGAGAAATACCCTAAGGGGGTCAAAATTTAACTTAATCCTATTTCTATTTTGTAAAGCCTGTTGGTTAGTTACTCCCAGCCTATTGGGTCAATCTCAAACAATCTTGGCAGGTTGACTCTTTAGACAATGTTGATTATTCTAAAGGGATTCAAAGTGAAAGTATGAAAGTTGCTGGATTGTTTCTCAAACAACCATACTTTTCTAATGGACAATGAAATGTTGCGTGTTCAAAATCTTTATTTGTTATTAGATGGAAAGCAAACATCAAATGTTGTTTCTGAAAAAGCTTTGTTATAATTTTAGAATTTTGAGATAAAACTTATGTTCTAGTTATTATTTTGAAAAATATGATTGCTGTTAAACTTACATTGTTCTAATTAAGTTTACATATTCTCCGTCAGTTGACGGATATTTCAGCTTTTTTAATGATAACTTGAGTTTCAAGTACAATATCATAGTTTTATTGCTATAAAAATATATCAAAGACATAAGCATCATGCCTGTGTAAGCTTCCCTTCTTTGTAAAAGGGTATGGAATTTTTTGACTTTTGTTCAACTTTGTTATCCTTAAAGTCGTATCAAAACCACTTCATTTTCAGAAACATTACCGATT